AAGCTTAACCTGAAACAACCTAGTGACTTTTGAGTTGACTCAAAAGTCACTCAGAGTGAAGAGCAGGTTGGGATGAAACGAATAGTCATATGAAAATGAACGAAGCTTAACCTGAAACAACCTAGTGACTTTTGAGTTGACTCAAAAGTCACTCAGAGTGAAGAGCAGGTTGGGGTGAAACGAATAGTCATATGAAAATGAACGAAGCTTAACCTGAAACAACCTAGTGACTTTTGAGTCGACTCAAAAGTCACTCAGAGTGAAGAGCAGGTTGGGGTAAAACGAATAGTCATATGAAAATGAACGAAGCTTAACCTGAAACAACCTAGTGACTTTTGAGTCGACTCAAAGTCACTCAGAGTGAAGAGCAGGTTGGGGTAAAACGAATAGTCATATGAAAATGAACGAAGCTTAACCTGAAACAACCTAGTGACTTTTGAGTTGACTCAAAAGTCACTCAGAGTGAAGAGCAGGTTGGGGTGAAAGGAATAGTCATATGAAAATGAACGAAGCTTAACCTGAAACAACCTAGTGACTTTTGAGTTGACTCAAAAGTCACTCAGAGTGAAGAGCAGGTTGGGGTGAAACGAATAGTCATATGAAAATGAACGAAGCTTAACCTGAAACAACCTAGTGACTTTTGAGTTGACTCAAAAGTCACTCAGAGTGAAGAGCAGGTTGGGGTGAAACGAATATTCATATGAAAATGAACGAAGCTTAACCTGAAACAACCTAGTGACTTTTGAGTTGACTCAAAAGTCACTCAGAGTGAAGAGCAGGTTGGGGTAAAACGAATAGTCATATGAAAATGAACGAAGCTTAACCTGAAACAACCTAGTGACTTTTGAGTCGACTCAAAAGTCACTCAGAGTGAAGAGCAGGTTGGGGTGAAACGAATAGTCATATGAAAATGAACGAAGCTTAACCTGAAACAACCTAGTGACTTTTGAGTTGACTCAAAAGTCACTCAGAGTGAAGAGCAGGTTGGGGTGAAACGAATATTCATATGAAAATGAACGAAGCTTAACCTGAAACAACCTAGTGACTTTTGAGTTGACTCAAAAGTCACTCAGAGTGAAGAGCAGGTTGGGGTGAAACGAATATTCATATGAAAATGAACGAAGCTTAACCTGAAACAACCTAGTGACTTTTGAGTTGACTCAAAAGTCACTCAGAGTGAAGAGCAGGTTGGGATGAAACGAATAGTCATATGAAAATGAACGAAGCTTAACCTGAAACAACCTAGTGACTTTTGAGTTGACTCAAAAGTCACTCAGAGTGAAGAGCAGGTTGGGGTAAAACGAATAGTCATATGAAAATGAACGAAGCTTAACCTGAAACAACGTAGTGACTTTTGAGTTGACTCAAAAGTCACTCAGAGTGAAGAGCAGGTTGGGGTAAAACGAATAGTCATATGAAAATGAACGAAGCTTAACCTGAAACAACCTAGTGACTTTTGAGTTGACTCAAAAGTCACTCAGAGTGAAGAGCAGGTTGGGGTGAAACGAATAGTCATATGAAAATGAACGAAGCTTAACCTGAAACAACCTAGTGACTTTTGAGTTGACTCAAAAGTCACTCAGAGTGAAGAGCAGGTTGGGGTGAAACGAATATTCATATGAAAATGAACGAAGCTTAACCTGAAACAACCTAGTGACTTTTGAGTCGACTCAAAAGTCACTCAGAGTGAAGAGCAGGTTGGGGTAAAACGAATAGTCATATGAAAATGAACGAAGCTTAACCTGAAACAACCTAGTGACTTTTGAGTTGACTCAAAAGTCACTCAGAGTGAAGAGCAGGTTGGGGTGAAACGAATAGTCATATGAAAATGAACGAAGCTTAACCTGAAACAACCTAGTGACTTTTGAGTTGACTCAAAAGTCACTCAGAGTGAAGAGCAGGTTGGGGTGAAACGAATAGTCATATGAAAATGAACGAAGCTTAACCTGAAACAACCTAGTGACTTGAGAGTCGACTCAAAAGTCACTCAGAGTGAAGAGCAGGTTGGGGTGAAACGAATAGTCATATGAAAATGAACGAAGCTTAACCTGAAACAACCTAGTGACTTTTGAGTTGACTCAAAAGTCACTCAGAGTGAAGAGCAGGTTGGGGTGAAACGAATAGTCATATGAAAATGAACGAAGCTTAACCTGAAACAACCTAGTGACTTTTGAGTTGACTCAAAAGTCACTCAGAGTGAAGAGCAGATTGGGGTGAAACGAATATTCATATGAAAATGAACGAAGCTTAACCTGAAACAACCTAGTGACTTTTGAGTCGACTCAAAAGTCACTCAGAGTGAAGAGCAGGTTGGGGTGAAACGAATAGTCATATGAAAATGAACGAAGCTTAACCTGAAACAACCTAGTGACTTTTGAGTCGACTCAAAAGTCACTCAGAGTGAAGTGCAGGTTGGGGTGAAACGAATAGTCATATGAAAATGAACGAAGCTTAACCTGAAACAACCTAGTGACTTTTGAGTTGACTCAAAAGTCACTCAGAGTGAAGAGCAGGTTGGGGTGAAACGAATATTCATATGAAAATGAACGAAGCTTAACCTGAAACAACCTAGTGACTTTTGAGTTGACTCAAAAGTCACTCAGAGTGAAGAGCAGGTTGGGATGAAACGAATAGTCATATGAAAATGAACGAAGCTTAACCTGAAACAACCTAGTGACTTTTGAGTTGACTCAAAAGTCACTCAGAGTGAAGAGCAGGTTGGGGTAAAACGAATAGTCATATGAAAATGAACGAAGCTTAACCTGAAACAACGTAGTGACTTTTGAGTTGACTCAAAAGTCACTCAGAGTGAAGAGCAGGTTGGGGTAAAACGAATAGTCATATGAAAATGAACGAAGCTTAACCTGAAACAACCTAGTGACTTTTGAGTTGACTCAAAAGTCACTCAGAGTGAAGAGCAGGTTGGGGTGAAACGAATAGTCATATGAAAATGAACGAAGCTTAACCTGAAACAACCTAGTGACTTTTGAGTTGACTCAAAAGTCACTCAGAGTGAAGAGCAGGTTGGGGTGAAACGAATATTCATATGAAAATGAACGAAGCTTAACCTGAAACAACCTAGTGACTTTTGAGTCGACTCAAAAGTCACTCAGAGTGAAGAGCAGGTTGGGGTAAAACGAATAGTCATATGAAAATGAACGAAGCTTAACCTGAAACAACCTAGTGACTTTTGAGTTGACTCAAAAGTCACTCAGAGTGAAGAGCAGGTTGGGGTGAAACGAATAGTCATATGAAAATGAACGAAGCTTAACCTGAAACAACCTAGTGACTTTTGAGTTGACTCAAAAGTCACTCAGAGTGAAGAGCAGGTTGGGGTGAAACGAATAGTCATATGAAAATGAACGAAGCTTAACCTGAAACAACCTAGTGACTTGAGAGTCGACTCAAAAGTCACTCAGAGTGAAGAGCAGGTTGGGGTGAAACGAATAGTCATATGAAAATGAACGAAGCTTAACCTGAAACAACCTAGTGACTTTTGAGTTGACTCAAAAGTCACTCAGAGTGAAGAGCAGGTTGGGGTGAAACGAATAGTCATATGAAAATGAACGAAGCTTAACCTGAAACAACCTAGTGACTTTTGAGTTGACTCAAAAGTCACTCAGAGTGAAGAGCAGATTGGGGTGAAACGAATATTCATATGAAAATGAACGAAGCTTAACCTGAAACAACCTAGTGACTTTTGAGTCGACTCAAAAGTCACTCAGAGTGAAGAGCAGGTTGGGGTGAAACGAATAGTCATATGAAAATGAACGAAGCTTAACCTGAAACAACCTAGTGACTTTTGAGTCGACTCAAAAGTCACTCAGAGTGAAGTGCAGGTTGGGGTGAAACGAATAGTCATATGAAAATGAACGAAGCTTAACCTGAAACAACCTAGTGACTTTTGAGTCGACTCAAAAGTCACTCAGAGTGAAGAGCAGGTTGGGGTGAGACGAATATTCATATGAAAATGAACGAAGCTTAACCTGAAACAACCTAGTGACTTTTGAGTCGACTCAAAAGTCACTCAGAGTGAAGAGCAGGTTGGGGTAAAACGAATAGTCATATGAAAATGAACGAAGCTTAACCTGAAACAACCTAGTGACTTTTGAGTTGACTCAAAAGTCACTCAGAGTGAAGAGCAGGTTGGGATGAAACGAATAGTCATATGAAAATGAACGAAGCTTAACCTGAAACAACCTAGTGACTTTTGAGTTGACTCTAAAGTCACTCAGAGTGAAGAGCAGGTTGGGGTGAAACGAATAGTCATATGAAAATGAACGAAGCTTAACCTGAAACAACCTAGTGACTTTTGAGTTGACTCAAAAGTCACTCAGAGTGAAGAGCAGGTTGGGGTGAAACGAATAGTCATATGAAAATGAACGAAGCTTAACCTGAAACAACCTAGTGACTTTTGAGTTGACTCAAGTCACCCAGAGTGAAGAGCAGGTTGGGGTGAAACGAATATTCATATGAAAATGAACGAAGCTTAACCTGAAACAACCTAGTGACTTTTGAGTTGACTCAAAAGTCACTCAGAGTGAAGAGCAGGTTGGGGTGAAACGAATATTCATATGAAAATGAACGAAGCTTAACCTGAAACAACCTAGTGACTTTTGAGTCGACTCAAAAGTCACTCAGAGTGAAGAGCAGGTTGGGGTGAAACGAATAGTCATATGAAAATGAACGAAGCTTAACCTGAAACAACCTAGTGACTTTTGAGTCGACTCAAAATTCACTCAGAGTGAAGAGCAGGTTGGGGTGAAACGAATAGTCATATGAAAATGAACGAAGCTTAACCTGAAACAACCCCTTGACTTTTGAGTTGACTCAAAAGTTGAGTTGACTCAAAAGTCACTCAGAGTGAAGAGCAGGTTGGGGTGGAACTAAAAGTGATATGAAAAGGAACGAAGCTTAACCTGAAACAACCTACTGGTGGCTCACAAACTGCATAAGGCCATCGCAACTAGTAACGCACGCTCTACCCTACTCCACCACTTTCACTCTAGGATGTGACCACGTGGGCACACTATCACTGCTCTGTGCTCATGAAGAAGGGCAGCAGTAGGGAAGGTCGCCTTTAGCAAAGGGACGATAGTCAACTAAGGAAAAAAAAAACCCACGTGGGCACACTATCACTGCTCTGTGCTGAGCCCTGCCAACCAACGCACGTGTGCCACGCACCTCCTTGCCAACCAACGCACGTGTGCCACGCACCTCCTTGCCAACCAACGCACGTGTGCCACGCACCTCCTTGCCAACCAACGCACGTGTGCCACGCACCTCCTTGCCAACCAACGCACGTGTGCCACGCACCTCCTTGCCAACCAACGCACGTGTGCCACGCACCTCCTTGCCAACCAACGCACGTGTGCCGCGCACCTCCTTGCCAACCAACGCACGTGTGCCACGCACCTCCTTGCCAACCAACGCACGTGTGCCACGCACCTCCTTGCCAACCAACGCACTATTGAAATCACTTTTGAGAATTCTCAATAGTGCCACGCACCCTCCCTGCCAACCACTGCATGCCAAGAGGCGCATAAAAAGTCGCACCTCCTTGCCGATCTTGCCGCTGATGGCGCCGTCCTGAATGAGCGTGATGAGACTAGTTGTGAGAGCAATGAGCTCGCACTGCGCCACCTCTCAATGCTACGCACCTCCTTGCCACCCACTGCATACCACGCACCTCCTTGCCACCCACTGCATGCCACGCACCTCCTTGCCACCCACTGCATGCCACGCACCTCTTTTCCGATCTTGCCGCTGATGGTGCCGTCCTGAATGAGCGCGATGAGCTCCGCCAGGCTGGCGGGCGGCATGCGGGCGGCCATGGCCAGCACGGAGCAGCGGTGCGTCTTGAGCAGCGCCGTCACGTCGCCCATCAGCCAGTTGGCCGCCGCCTTCGGGTCCGTCCCCTCTGCCAGCACTCCGTCAAAATAGTCCGAGAACTGCATTGGTTGGGGGGGGAGAGGTGACTTTTGAGTCGACTCAGAAGAGCGCCTTGAGCAGCGCCGTCACGTGCAGAGGTGAAACGTGCAGAGGTGAGAGAGGCGCTGCAAAGGCGTGATGTGAAGGAGCTGCAAGGATGGTACACACATGGGAGCAGGGAAGCGCGCACACAGAGGCCCATGTGCTGCCACATGCATGCAAACATACCTCGGCAGCAACTTTGCTCCCACCATTCCAACACCTCACGGCAGAACCCCCACCTATAATAGTTTGATAAACTCCTTACGATCACCCAACATCACTTTGTAATCACCGCCTCCTCAACACAGCCTTGCCATCACCTCCCTACAATCACATCCCCACAGTCAAATCCCCACAGTCACCTCCCTACAATCACCTCCCTACGATCACCCCCCCTCCCTATAATCATCTCCCTACTCTACACTCACCTGCCCACAATCACCTTCGCCCATGGACGCACACACCTCCCGGTCGTCCACGAACACGAGCACGAGCACGTCCTGCATGAACAGCCCCAGCGCCTGCTCCCATTCGGCACCACTGATGAAGGCTTGCTAGGAGCTCCCCTACCAATCTGCTGCTGCTGCTGCTGCTGCTGCTCGCTGGAATATGTCTAACGACCTGGACGCACCTCCCAGTCGTCCACAAGCACGAGCACGTCCTGCATGGAGCACGTCGCCCATGGACGCACCTGCAGTCTAGAGAGAATCTTTACACGCACCTCCCTGTCGTCCACAAGCACGAGCACGTCCTGCATGGACAGCCCCAGCGCCTCGTAGCGCCGCCGCCGCTGCTCCGGCAGTTCCGGCAGGCCCGCCTGCAGCTGGTGCAGGAAGGCCTCTTCCAGGTGCAGCGCGGGCAGGTCCGGGTCGGGGAAGTAACGATAGTCCGCCAGACCCTCCTTGGACCTCATTGCTGCTGTTTCCTGCCACGGTGTGTGGGGGGGGGTGGTAGGGGGGGGAGGAGGTGACTTTTGAGTCGACTCAAAAGTCAACTCTTCCAGGTGCAGCGCGGGCTGGTCCGGGTCGGGGAAGTAACGATAGTCCGCCAGACCCTCCTTGGACCACATCGCTGCTGTTTCCTGCCCGGGGTGGGGGTGATAGGGGGGGGAGGAGAAGGGAGATAAGATTGATAAGATCTATAAACTCAGGATTTGGCGGTAAAGGAGGTGGCGGTTCATGTCCATTACATGTCCATATAGCACAGAAATGAGGAGTTAGGAGTGGAAGGTGTCGGCATGAACAAGCTCGTAGCCGGCTTGTCGCGAGCCGAGCAATGGTGACAGGCCGAGCAATGGTGACAGGCCGAGCAATGGTGACAGGCCGAGCAATGGTGACAGGCCAGGGCTCGTACGCTCGTGTCAAGCCTTGTGAGGCAGGTGCGCTCGTGTCAAGCTTTGTGAGGCAGGTGCGCTCGTGTCAAGCCTTGTGAGGCAGGTGCGCTCGTGTCAAGCTTTGTGAGGCAGGTGCGCTCGTGTCAAGCCTTGTGAGGCAGGTGCGCTCGTGTCAAGCCTTGTGAGGCAGGTGCACTCGTGTCAAGCCTTGTGAGGCAGGTGCGCTCGTTTCAAGCCTTGTGAGGCAGGTGCGCTCGTGTCAAGCCTTGTGAGGCAGGTGCGCTCGTGTCAAGCCTTGTGAGGCAGGTGCGCTCGTGTCAAGCCTTGTGAGGCAGGTGCGCTCGTGTCAAGCCTTGTGAGGCAGGTGCGCTCGTGTCAAGCCAGCCAGGCTTCTCGTAAGCCCCTCTCTGCCTGCCAGGCTTCTCATAAGCCCCTCTCTGGCTAGTGTGTGAACATTCTTACGCTGGAGACCTAAAAACGGAACGTCGACAAGAAAGCTCTCTATCCATGTCCAACAAATTCAAGTACTAGTAGCCTAAGTGCTCTCGCAAGGGCTGAAACGAGGAGAGAAAGGAAGGAGCAATGGGCTAAAATAGTGAGTGCTTCCATCAGCTCGTTGCCGCCTCCTTGCCTGCCCTCATCCCACAGCCTCGTCTCACCTGCCTGCCCTCATCCCACAGCCTCGTCTCTTGCACGATGTGCTGCGCCTTGCCGTCCCGGAGCAGCTGTGACTGCCGCGTGATCTCAAAGTCAATGGCGCGCTGCATCTCCTTGAAAGAGTTCATGTTCTTGATCTCCACCTGCCATGCCACGCCACGCCATGCCGTGCCATGCCATGCCATGCCATGCCATGCCACCGGGGCGGAGCAGCACGCACACGGAATGAGTTTAGGCTACTCGTCTCCAACTGGCATCGAGAAGAACGGGCAACGGGCTAATTAAGCTGAATGAACGCATGTGGTGAGCGAGCGAGGGAGTGAGCAAGCAAAGTATGCATGGGGAGCAAAGGAGCATTTGAAGTATTCATGGCTGGCTACAAACGAGTCCAACACGCACGCACTCGCCTTCACGGACCTGCCATGCCATATGCTCCCCAGCCCAGCCCATCACCCTCTAGCCCATATTCTCACCTTGTTACCGAGCCTCTCTCCTTGAGGCCGAACCTCTCCCCCTTGTGCCGAACCTCTCTTCTTGGTGCGGAGGGACCTTTCACTCACCTTGGTGCCAAGGGTGGTTTGACCACGGGGCCGCACGGAGACGTTGACATCGCAGCGCATGGAACCCTCTGCCATGTTGCCGTTGCCCACTCCCACGTACCGCACCTGATGACGTGTCACCGCACCACACCGCACACACACCGGCAGGGAGCACGCACGGGTGTATGGAGCATGGGTGGTTGCATCATAATACAGACTAAGAAATACAAACTGACCGGAAACAAGGGCACGTAGTATAAGTTTATCAATGGGCAATTGCTTGGGCACAGGGGACAGGGCACAAGGCAGAGCACACGCCACAGCACACAGCACACAGCACACAGCACACAGCACACAGCACACAGCACACAGCACACAGCACACAGCACACAGCACACAGCACACAGCACACAGCACACAGCACACAGCACACGCCACAGCACACAGCACACAGCACACAGCACACAGCACACAGCACACAGCACACAGCACACAGCACACAGCACACAGCACACAGCACACAGCACACAGCACACAGCACACAACACACGCCACAGCACACAGCACACAGCACACAGCACACAGCACACAGCACACAGCACACAGCACACAGCACACAGCACACAGCACACAGCACACAGCACACAGCACACAGCACACGCCACAGCACACAGCACACAGCACACAGCACACAGCACACAGCACACAGCACACAGCACACAGCACACAGCACACGCCACAGCACACAGCACACAGCACACAGCACACAGCACACAGCACACAGCACACAGCACACAGCACACAGCACACAGCACACAGCACACAGCACACAGCACACAGCACACAGCACACAGCACACAGCACACAGCACACAGCACACGCCACAGCACACAGCACACAGCACACAGCACACAGCACACAGCACACAGCACACAGCACACAGCACACAGCACACAGCACACAGCACACAGCACACAGCACACGCCACAGCACACAGCACACAGCACACAGCACACAGCACACGCCACAGCACACAGCACACAGCACACAGCACACAGCACACAGCACACAGCACACAGCACACAGCACACAGCACACAGCACACAGCACACAGCACACAGCACACAGCACACAGCACACAGCACACAGCACACAGCACACAGCACACGCCACAGCACACGCCACAGCACACAGCACACAGCACACAGCACACAGCACACAGCACACAGCACACAGCACACAGCACACAGCACACGCCACAGCACACGCCACAGCACACAGCACACGCCACAGCACACAGCACACGCCACAGCACACAGCACACGCCACAGCACACGCCACAGCACACAGCACACGCCACAGCACACGCCACAGCACACAGCACACGCCACAGCACACAGCACACGCCACAGCACACAGCACACAGCACACGCCACAGCACACGCCACAGCACACAGCACACGCCACAGCACACAGCACACGCCACAGCACACAGCACACGCCACAGCACACAGCACACGCCACAGCACACAGCACACGCCACAGCACACAGCACACGCCACAGCACACAGCACACATCACACGCCACAGCACACAGCACACGCCACAGCACACAGCACACGCCACAGCACACAGCACACGCCACAGCACACAGCACACACCACAGCACACAGCACACAGCACAACACAGCACAGCACACAGCACACAGCACACGCCACAGTACCAGTCTCTGCAGCTCGGCGGCGTATTCAGCTGCCTCTGCCCCCGAGCGCATGTCGGGCTCAGATACCACCTCCACCAGTGCCACCCCTGCCCGGTTCAGATCCACCTGAGATGAAAGATGGCACGGGTAGAGATGGCACGGGCAGAGAGGGCACGGGTAGAGAGGGCACGGGCAGAGAGGGCACGGGCAGAGAGGGCACGGGTAGAGAGGGCACGGCACGGGCAGAGATGGCACGGGCGGCAGAGAGGGCACGGGCAGAGATGGTACGGGCAGAGATGGCACGGGCAGAGAGGGCACGGGCAGAGATGGCACGGGCAGAGATGGCACGGGCAGAGATGGCACGGGCAGAGATGGCACGGGCAGAGATGGCACGGGCAGAGATGGCACGGGCAGAGAGGGCACGGGCAGAGATGGCATGGGCAGAGATGGCATGGGCAGAGATGGCACGGCCAGAGATGGCACGGGCAGAGATGGCACGGGCAGAGATGGCACGGGCAGAGATGGCACGGGCAGAGAGGGCACGGGCAGAGATGGCATGGGCAGAGATGGCACGGGCAGAGATGGCACGGGCAGAGATGGCACGGGCAGAGATGGCATGGGCAGAGATGGCACGGGCAGAGATGGCACGGGCAGAGATGGCACGGGCAGAGAGGGCACGGGCAGAGATGGCATGGGCAGAGATGGCACGGCCAGAGATGGCACGGGCAGAGATGGCACGTGCAGAGATGGCACGGGCAGAGATGGCACGGGCAGAGAGGGCACGGGCAGAGATGGCATGGGCAGAGATACAGGTAAAAACGTGCAAGCCACACTGGCAGCGACAGCAAGCATGGGCTGTGCTGCCATGCCTGGTACACCTCACCTCACCTCACCTCACCTCACCTCACCACCATCCCATCCCACGTGTCACCACCAGCAAGCAGCGCCTCACCTGGCTGCCATCCCCCCCAAGCAGCGCCTCACCTGGCTGCCATCCCCCCCAAGCAGCGCCTCACCTGGCTGCCATCCCCCCCAAGCAGCGCCTCACCTGGCTGCCATCCCCCCCATGCAGCGACTTCCCGGCATCTTCCTCCAGATGGGCGCGCGTGACTCCAAAGCGCCGCCGCCCGCCACCCGCCTCGAGGGGCATGTCCACGTCCACATGGCCATGCGCTGCCAGGGGCTCGTCAAACTGCGATATCTGCCGCAGCACGGGGGGAGAGGGTGGCAGGGGGAATGGTTTGAGGCATTGAGAATGGAGGGGGGAGGGGAGGATAACCGGCATGGCATGGGAATGGAGAGGGAAATGTCTCGACATGCCCGCCCGCCTGCACTCTCAGCACTGTGCTCTCTGCTCAACCCTGCCCCACATTCTCCTGCACCTCTCCTGTGCCACTACATGCCACGTGCTAGCCCTACAACGCACCTAGCATGGGGCTCTTGGGGAGGCAGAGCGGCACCTGATAGCCCCTTCACCTGGTAGCCCTTCACCTGGTAGCCCTTGGGCAGGTCGGGGTAGAAGTACTGCTTGCGGTCGAACTTGCTCGTCAGCGCCACGCGGCACTGCAGCGTCAGCGCCAGCCGCACAGCCGCGTCCACCACGCGCGCGTTCAGCACGGGCAGCGCGCCAGGCTGCCCCATGCACGTGGGGCACACGTGCTCGTTGGGCGCCGCGCCGTACTGCGCCGCGCACCTGCAGAACGCCTGCCAGCGGGCGGCGGATCGAGGGGCGGGAGAGTGGGCGGGACTGAGTGGCGAGTGTTGCCTATGTGGGGGGGGAAGAGGCACATATGTGGTGCGCAAGGAGGCGTGGAGGGCGCGGAGTGAGATGGCGGCAAGCCGCGGTGGCAGTAGGCGCGGAGCTGCGCGGCTGCTGGCTTAAACAATCCCCGGAAGCGCGCCCCACTGATCCGCTGCGCCTTGCCCGACGCGCCACGCACCTTGGTCGCCGTGTTCAGCTGCACGTGCGTTTCGATGCCGATCACCGCCTCAAACTCCCCCTCACCGCGCGCCGAGCCTTCCGCCGTCTGCCCCTCTGCCACCGACACCGCGTGCGCGCGAGTTCTCCCCATATGGGGGCGCTGCGCCCTCGCCACGGCCCTCGACGAGCTGGACGGCGCGGCGGCCGTGCGCGCGTCGACGCGCGAAAGGTGGGCCGTGCGCGCCGACGACGGGCAGCATGGAGGGGCGACCGCGCCGCAACGGACGGCTGGAGCGGCTGCTACGGACGCGGAATGCCGCGCAGATAGCGACAAGAGAGACATTGCCCCACCTGTTACACACGTGGCAGACGGCATTCGAATTGCGACTTTCCGCGTGGATGATGAAAGCACGGCGCAGGCTTCCAGCGCGCGGAGAATAGCGAGTGAAGGACGCGGAAAACAACGGGCGAGCATGGAGGGCGGAGGGGATTAGGGGCGAGACTGGGAATGGCGATGAAGGGGGAGATCGAGTGGGCGGAGATGCTGTCCCCGTTATAGGGACCCCAGGATTTTTTACTGCTTAAAAGAGGCACACCTAACAAAATTCCCCTTTCGTGGAAGTAGTTATGAGTTCATATTTTAGAGCAAGAGGTTAATGATAGTGTTCTTGGTTTCTAGCGAAGTCGTACTGATGAGCCGCACACATCCGCACCTCAGATCACGGCAGGTAAGTACGGTCCAAACCTGAATAACCTGATTCTGATTGGTCAAGGCGGGAACAATGTCTGCGCGCGAAAACTCTGTCACGCGAAGTACGCCAAATTGTTTTGGCTTGGGATGAAGCAGCCTGACAGCACCTCCTCTACGAGACTCACGAAGCGCGAAACCTAGCGCCTAGCAGTGCAATCATCGAAAGCCAGTTTCTGAGCAGCCCGACGAAGCAATTTTGGCAGTGCGAACCTAGAAGCAAATTTGATTTTTTTCTACGGCGCTTTCCGCCACTCCTAGTAGCGCATTTGGAAACCGTAGATTTTACCACTTCATCAGCTACTTGACACGTTTCTCAGAACGACTTGGTGAAGCGATGGATGGACTTGATCGTGAATGACGCTATTTTGTTATGAGGAGCCTCCTAGCGACTCGGTAGTGTTATCGAATTCGGGGTTGCGTAATGATCTCGAAACCAGAGTAAAGTAGTGCTGACAATTCGAGATACGAGTTGCTTTTGAGTTCGAAATTAGTGATTCGAGCGTCAATGGCGCTGACGGTGGATGACGCGATCGCGACGCTGTTCACGCTGACTCAGCATGACGAGCAGCCGGGCGTGCAGGGTCTCACATCCACCATGGTGTACGACGCATCGTACAGGACGTCGTACACAGGTAGCCACAGCAGGCCGTATCATGTCATGCAGCAAGTCGTACGCAGGTAGCCATGTCGCCACTCCTTTTAACCCATTTATTCATCCCGCGTCCGTTAGCCTCCTTCTACCCCCTGTCGTCACACCCCCGCCTCACGCCACCCGCTCCTACCTTCCGCCGTCATACCCCCGCCGCACGCCACTCGCTCGTACCTCCCGTCGCCATACCCCCGCCGCACGCCACTCGCTCGTACCTCCCGTCGCCATACCCCCGCCGCACGCCACTCGCTCGTACCTCCCGCCGCCATACCCCCGCCGCACGCCACTCGCTCGTACCTCCCGTCGCCATACCCCCGGCTTCGCGCCACCCGCTCCTTCTGTCCGCCCTGGCTGTCCAGAGCACTCCCAGTGGCGGCGTGCTAGCTGTCCCTTCCAGCTGTCCCTTCCAGCTGTCCCTTCCAGCTGTCCCTTCCAGCTGTCCCTTCCAGCTGTCCCTTCCAGCAGTCCTTCTCCCCTGCTTTTCACCCCAACCCTCCCTCCCTCCAGACTACGCCGAGGTGGCGGCCGCCCTGCTTGCCGTCCCTTGCAGCTGTCCCTCATATTCACCCCCTTCTCCCCTCTTTTCCACCCCCTTCTCCCCTCTTTTCACCCCCTTCTCCCCTCTTTTTCACCCCCCCGTCTTCATGCCATGGTCACCCAAACCCCCCCTCCCCCTCCCCCCTTCCTCCAGAGTACGCGGAAGTGGCGGCCTTCCAGCTGTCCCTGGAGGACGACACAGCCGCCATCAACCAGCTGGTGAGGGGGATAGATGAGAAGGGAAGCGAGGGAGAGCAGGGAGGGGATGGAGGGGAGGGTGAGGGGGTTGGCGGCCTTCCAGCTGTCCCTGGAGGACGACACTGCCGCCATCAACCAGCTGGTGAGGGGGATAGATGAGAAGGGAAGCGAGGGAGAGCAGGGAGGGGATGGAGGGGAGGGTTAGGGGGTTGGCGGCCTTCCAGCTGTCCCTGGAGGACGACACTGCCGCCATCAACCAGCTGGTGAGGGCAGGGGAGGGAGGGGGGAGGGGAGGGACCCACCGAGTGTGGGAGTGAGGGAGAGGAGGGGAGGAGAGAGAGCAGGGAGGGGAGGTGGCGGCCTTCCAGCTGTCTCTGAAGGACGACACTGCCGCCATCAACTGGCTGGTGAAGGGTATGGGCGAGAAGGGGAGTGAGCGAGCGGAAGGAGGGGACCCACCGAGTGTGGGAGTGAGGAAGAGAGGGGGAGGAGAGGAGAGAGAGCAGGAAGGGGAGGTGACGACCTTCTGTCTGTCTCTGGAGGATGACACTGCCGCCATGAACCATCTGGAGAGGGGCGGAGAGCGAGGGAGTGAGGGGGGGAAGGGGAGGGAGGGCAGGGAGGGGAGAGAGGGGAGAGACGAGGGATGGGGGGGAGGTGAGGGGGGGGAACGAGGTGAAGTAGGGGGGGGAGGGGAGGGATGGGGGGGAGGGGTGGGAGGGGACGGAGGGGACGGAGGGAAGAGATTGGGGGGAAGGGAGGGAGGCAAGAGAGGGAAGGGAGGGGAGAGAGGGAAGAAAGGGGAGGGAGGAAAGGGATGGAGGGGAGGGAGGGGAAGGAGGGGTGAATGGAAAGGGAGAATTACACATCCTGATTGGTGGAGGGCTGTAGCCATCAGTGGGACGGGTGAGTGGGGAATGCGCGGCAGAATCGCAAGGAGAGGGATGAGCGAATTAGGTAGACTAAAACCGGCATAGCCATGTGGGAGGTGGAGTAACCGCTGCCGCAGCCACCAAATCACTGCGATTTTGAAATGCACTAGTCTGGAGTGAGTGCATGCCAACAAGCAGGGAACGATGAATCTTTGTAAGATTTTACTTTTTTGGTGGTCCTCTGTCTACATGCACCCTCTCTTTTATCCCTCTGTCTGCATGCACCCTCTCTTTTATCCCTCTGTCTGCATGCACCCTCTCTTTTATCCCTCTGTCTGCATGCACCCTCTCTTTTATCCCTCTGTCTGCATGCACCCTCTCTTTTATCCCTCTGTCTACATGCACCCTCTCTTTTATCCCTCTGTCTGCATGCACCCTCTCTTTTATCCCTCTGTCTGCATGCACCCTCTCTTTTATCCCTCTGTCTGCATGCACCCTCTCTTTTATCCCTCTGTCTGCATGCACCCTCTCTTTTATCCCTCTGTCTGCATGCACCCTCTCTTTTATCCCTCTGTCTGCATGCACCCTCTCTTTTATCCCTCTGTCTACATGCACCCTCTCTTTTATCCCTCTGTCTGCATGCACCCTCTCTTTTATCCCTCTGTCTGCATGCACCCTCTCTTTTATCCCTCTGTCTGCATGCACCCTCTCTTTTATCCCTCTGTCTGCATGCACCCTCTCTTTTATCCCTCTGTCTGCATGCACCCTCTCTTTTATCCCTCTGTCTGCATGCACCCTCTCTTTTATCCCTCTGTCTGCATGCACCCTCTCTTTTATCCCTCTGTCTGCATGCACCCTCTCTTTTATCCCTCTGTCTGCATGCACCCTCTCTTTTATCCCTCTGTCTGCATGCACCCTCTCTTTTATCCCTCTGTCTGCATGCACCCTCTCTTTTATCCCTCTGTCTGCATGCACCCTCTCTTTTATCCCTCTGTCTGCATGCACCCTCTCTTTTATCCCTCTGTCTGCATGCACCCTCTCTTTTATCCCTCTGTCTACATGCACCCTCTCTTTTATCCCTCTGTCTGCATGCACCCTCTCTTTTATCCCTCTGCCTGCATGCACCCTCTCTTTTATCCCTCTGCCTGCATGCACCCTCTCTTTTATCCCTCTGTCTGCATGCACCCTCTCTTTTATCCCTCTGTCTGCATGCACCCTCTCTTTTATCCCTCTGTCTGCATGCACCCTCTCTTTTATCCCTCTGTCCCGTCCCACTCTCTGCATTCCACCGGCTTCTATCTCTCTTCCCCTCCCGAACACCCATCATCCATTCTTCGCATGTGCGCATGAATGACTCCCATCATTTCCCATCACTGCAGGAAGCCCTATTGGCAGATGGCAAGGACAGGCTTGCATCGCTCTACACCTACCGCAGCGTCTCCAAGTCCTTTCCTCAGGTAGTTTTTTCAGGCGCCTCAAAAGACATGCTCGCATGGCTCCACACCTACCGCAGCATCTCCAAGTCCTTTCCCGAGGTAGTACAGTTACAGCGTGGCCATTGATTCAAGGGAGTGAATCAGGCTCCTAGCTGCCAGCAGGACGCACGTCTAGTGTGCGTTGGCCTGGCCTGCCTTAGCATCGCTCTACACTATGACTACCGCAGCGTTACTAAGGCCTTTGATGACGCAGGGCGCCTCTCAGGTTTGCACAGGCAGGCAGCTGGAGAGAGGGGTAGCAGAGCATAGGAATCTTCCTCTTTCGCTTGAAGGAATCGTACCGTCTGTAAGAGCACTACAAACACCCTTCATTGCTAATCGTGAACCCTCTCCCCGTCGCTCATCTCTCCCTTGCCTGTTTTTCTGTCACCCACTGCCTCCCTGCAGTCAGTGCAAGCTCTGGACGAGAATGCAGAGCCGGGTCTGCTGCAGGAGGCCTTTGCGCTTGTAGATGTGGATATGACTTTTGAGTCGACTCAGTCACTCAGATGTCACCTTGCTCTTTCTCTCTTCCCTGTCTTGCTGCCACCCGCTGCCTCCCTGCAGTCAGTGCAAGCTCTGGACGAGAACGCAGAGCCGGGTCTGCTACAGGAGGCGTTTGCGATCGTAGATGTGGAGATCCAACGGCTGAGAAACATTCATCAGTGGCAGATGCGAGCACGGTCGTTGATTGCTGCAGACCTGCAGCGATTCTCAGGGGAGATGACCGGTCCCACCCTCACACACCTGTGGTGAGTCATGCAGGGGGACGCAGCGGGGCATGTGTCACCTGGTGAGTCACACGGTGTTGAGTCACACGGTGTTGAGTCACCCGCCTGGGTGGGTCACGCAGACAGGCCAAGCAGAGAAGCAGACAGCAAGGCCTGTCTGCTTATCTGCTTGCTCTCTCATCCTTTCTCAGCAGCAGCTGCTTCAAGTGCGCTGTTGGGTTTCTGGATGATCTCGCCCTCGTCTGTGCCTGCCTGTTTTTTCTTCCGCTGTGCACTGCACTGCACTCGACCGCACTACACCGCACAGCATCCTGTTGAGAGTGTTGGACACGTGTCTGCTGATGGACCTGCTCAAAAACACCAAGGCAGCGCCACTCTCTGACCTTCGAATTGACTCAAAGGCACTGTGCTTGACACACATTCCACCTCACTCCACCGCATTCCACCCCATTCTGTCTCACAGGAGCCTGCTGAGAGTGCTGGACACGTGTCTGCTGCTGGACCTGCTGAAGCACACCAAGGCAGCGCCGCTCTCTGATCTGCTCTGGTTCAGGCGGTGAGAACCCATGCCTTGCCTGCCTTGCTTTCCTTCAATCCCATGCCTTGCATGCCATGCCTCCCTCCCCCTTGCTTTCTATACGTGCAAGGCCTTCCATGCCTTGAAAGCCATGCCTGCCTCACTTCCGCTCCTCCACTGCTCCCTCCCCTCGTTCCTGCATTCGCTTCCAAGCTTCTAACTCATTCAAGTCTCTGTCATCTAAACCTGAAGACTTCTTTTGAGGCGCCTCAAAAAACTCATTCAGGTCTCTGTCATCTAAACCGGAAGACTTCTCCCCGTTTCCTGCATCCCCTTCCACCCTTCTCCCCCTTTCCTGCATCTCCTTCCACCCTTCTCCCCCTTTCCTGCATCTCCTTCCACCCTTCTCCCCATCTTCCCTCTTCCCCCTTGCTGTTTTCTGCACTTTCCTGGCCGCCTGACACCAGAGCGGTGCAGAGTGGTCGAGTCAATGCGGAGAGCGGTTCTGACACTGACAGCGACCTGGAGGTACGCCAATGGCAGGCGGTTGATGTTGCGTCTCGGATAAACGTTCATCGTATCTTAGTATGCGTGTGCTTTTCGCCCTTTGAGGAGACATGCAGGTGCAGGTGCAGACAAAGCAGGTGTATAAGCTAAACCAACATACTGTAGTAATGCATGCACATGCCAACAGCGTTTTCCACAGCATTCAGGGCTAGCCACACGTATTTCACAGCATTCAGGGCTAGCCACACGTATTTCACAGCATTCACAGCATTCAGGGCTAGCCACACGTATTTCACAGCATTCACAGCATTCAGGGCTAGCCACACGTATTTCACAGCATTCACAGCATTCAGGGCTAGCCACACGTATTTCACAGCATTCACAGCGTTCAGGGCTAGCCACACGTATTTCACAGCATTCACAGCATTCAGGGCTAGCCACACGTATTTCTGGGGCGTTTCAAACCATTTTGTAACTAACATCAGCACTGAAGCTGTTTGTTGTTGAGAAAGTCGTTTTCAGCACACATCATCACCCACACACCCACACACTAACGCTGTTCACAACAAACAGCTTTAGTGTGCCCATTGCCTATCCACGTCCTTCTGCCCCCACCCACCTCCGCGTCCACTGATCTGTCGCTGAGGCCCCACAAACAATCTGGCCTGTCAATCCCGACCAACACAACTCTCCGTTCCACGTCTCTCCTCGCCAACGCCAGGAGTTCTGGAGCAAGCGCTGGGCCGTCCTTTCCAGCCTGCAGGCCGGCATTCCGGGCAACGAAACGTACGTGCTGGGAGTGCAGTGCAGTGCCATCCAGTCTGATCCAGTTCGATCCAGTCCAGCCCAGTCCGTTCCAGTCCAGTTCAGTCCAGTCCAGTCCAGTCCAGTCCAGTCCAGTCCAGTCCAGTCCAGTCCAGTCCAGTCCAGTCCAGTCCAGTCCAGTCCGGTCTGGTCCAGTTCGGTCTGACCTGGTCTGGTCCAACGGATCCGGCCCAGCCCGGTTCGGCCCAACTAGAACCCGTCGAGGTCTAGTTATGCAAATTAGTTCATTTTCTTCTTGTCGGACTAATTACATGCATTTTTTGTTTTTTATATAATCCGCACAACCCTGCTCAGATTGCAACATCCTACCCTCTCTCATCCACGCGCCCACTCTCTCTCCGCCCTCTCGCCACTGACCACCCGTCCCCAGTCCTCCCCCATTCCAGTGTGGAGGAGTTCTTTGTGCAGCTGATGGTGGTGGCCACGGGCACCATAGAGAGCAGTCGATAGCACACTGATAAGCTGTTCCTTTCCCTTACCACTCTTCGATCCTTCTACACCTGCGATCTTGTGTTTTCATGGCCCCATTCCAGTGTGGAGGAGTTCTTTGTGCAGCTGATGGTGGTGGCCACGGGCACCATAGAGAGCGGCCGCACTCTGCTGTTCGCAGATCGTCTCATGCTGCTGCGTGTGCTGCCGGTGCTCATATCGCTCGCTGCCCGCACCGAGGCCGAGGCAGACACGCTGTTCCGCCGGAGAGTGAAGCTCGACCGCCTTCTCAGACTCTTCAAGGTGGGTGGGTGGGTGCATGTGAGTGCGTGCGTGCGTGCGTGCGTGCGCGCGCGCGCGCGCGTGTGTGTGTGTGTGTGTGTGTGTGTGTGTGTGTGTGTGTGTGTGTGTCTGCTTCTTTGTTTTGGAGCGACTCAACACTTGCTGCCATCTCAACTTATATTCCTGCCATGCTCTACACACCAACTCATTCTCTTTCTGCCATGCCTTGACATCGCTACTTCCTTCGCTCCTGCTCGCTGCATTTTCTTCTCCTCGTATCTCCTCTTTCGCTTCCCATCACACACCTCTCCAGCGTGAACCCCTAGGGCAGGCTACAAGGAGGTACCCTTCGCCCTCGCGTCGCTGCTTGCCTACATGCTATGCAATGCCATGCTCCCATCACGCAGCCCTCTTTCACCACCCATCCCTCCCTTTCCGCCCATCACACATCTCTCCAGCGTGAGCCCCTAGTGGCAGGCTACAAGGATTTACCCTTCGCTCTGCTTGCTTACATGCCATGCTATGCAATGCTTTAATCACGCATCACTCTCTTTCTCTTCCCATCACACACCTCTCCAGCGTGAACCCCTAGTGGCGGGCTACAAGGAGGTACCATTCGCCCTCGCGTCTCTCCTGCCAGACCTCTCGCCCTTCTTCCGCAAGCTGTGTGTTGAGAAGGGCGTGCTGCTGCCCGTGCCCAGCAACATGGACGCTAAGGAAGGTGCGAAGGGAGGGGTGCAATGTGGTGCAGAGGGATTGCTGTCATCACTGCTATCTCATTGCAAGCTGTGTGTTGAGAAGGGCGTGCTGCTGCCCGTGCCCAGCAACATGGACGCTAAGGAAGGTGGGTGAGAGGAGGACGAGAGGAGAGAGATAGCGATGTGATGTGGTGGTGGAGACGGGCGGTGACATGCATGCAGAAGCAGTTTCTTCTGCAGCAGAAGCAGTTCGTTTGCAGCTCCAGAAGACAGGCTGAGCGAGCGTGAAGTGGTGGGCGAGAATAGCGGTGAAGAGGAAAAAGAGGATGAGGGCACGAAGGAGTGCTGTGGCAGCGGCCAAGTTGGGCAGACGAGCAGAGATCCCCAAAGGCCAGCAAACTCCTATGGCGCCACTGGATCCTAAACCTTTGGGGATCCCAGCTCGGCTGCCCAACTTGACCGCTGCCGCAGCACTCCTTTGTGCTCTCTGTTGTGGAAGCAAGAATGTCCCAGTGGGTACCTTTGGTCTTAGTGGTCGCGGGTTCAACTCTCATCGGCAGCACCTTCTCTTCTCATTATGCCGAACATGACACTCCCACACTCCACCACACTCACCCACAGTGAAGTGTGGTCACAGTTGGCATTGCCATCTGTCCACCCATCCCATACTCACCTTGTTGGCTCCTATGGTGTGCCACATGCTGCCATGTAGGCTGTTGTTCCAGCCTGGCCCACATGTGCAACATGTGGCCTCAATTGCTAGCTTGGCAAGGTTGGCTAGCCCTGCCCTCAGCTTTGAGGTGCTGCAGCTAGCCTCAAGAGTTCAGCCACATAAATGTGGCTTCCCACTTCTCTAGAACTCATCCTTGGAAAGGACATTGCTCTAGCCTTTCAGGCTTGTACCATCTTCCTACTAAGGATATATTGTTCTTCTCTCATTGTGCCTCAAGTTCACCGATCCTCATTCTACATGCTATCAGAGCAAGGCTTCTAGCTTAGTGAACGTTGCACACTTCATGGCTCAAGTTGAAACGCCTCTCGGTCGGCACACCCTTCCCATCTTGGAACCAGATGGTTCCAACTTCATTCCATGGAAGAAAAAGATCTGCTACATCTTCAATGTCCTCGGGCCGATCTCCCTCCTTGGAGATCCCAAGGTTGCTTCGCGTCCTTCAATCTCCTCTTCCACAACCAGCGGTGGAGAGACTACCGAAGGCAACAGCGGTGCAGCCCCTAAGACAGCCCATTCGATTGCTTCGCTGCCGGATGAAGAAAAAGAGGAGCATGCATACTATCTTCTCATGTCAGCCGTCCATCCTCAACTATCTCTCACTCTTGCTCAAGCCAACACGACAAAGGATATGTGGGGATGTGTCGCACCCTCTCCCAGTGGATCCGCCCTCCCGTCCTTCTCTTGCTCTGTGCCCTCTAATCCTTACTTCTCTCCCTGCTTCCCCGCTTCCTTGTGCACACCTCCTCCTCGTCTCTTATAGGTAATGATACTCTCTGGACCCCTGTCATGTAAAGAAGCCCTCGACGCGAGTGGCTAGTTTCCTTCCCTAGGCACAAATGGCCGCACTAGTTTGGCTTCTCCGACGTGGATCTAGCAGTTGCTCAGCTTGACGACAGATCACAACTGAATCACAAGCTTTCCCACAATTACGAGAAGACAAACAAAAGTGAATTGGTGTCCTTGCTGTGCTAGTTTTGGCTTCCTGTCACCCCTCGTGAATCTGTGCCTTGGGGTCTGCCAACTACCTCTCGCACCGCCCAACCCTTGGGCTCCTTTCCATGCATGCGACTCGGGCAAGCCTCGTCACCCCTGTCCCCTTTCCGCTTCACCGGTGGCCCTTGCCAGGTCAGCCGCCCTCCCGTCCTCATTTCGAGAGGCCCCGCCTCGATTCTTCTATCCCTGCCACAATTCTAATATCACCACAAAACCCCCCCCCTTACCCGTACACTCTACAGCACAATTTATAACAACAATACAACAATACTACTTCCCTTACGATTTACCCAACCATACTCACCTTAGGAGCTGTCTCATGAACTTTTGTGCACTCATTCGCAAGAGTCATGCGACAGCTGTCGCACCCTCTCCCAGTGGATCCGCCCTCCCGTCCTTCTCTTGCTCTGTGCCCTCTAATCCTTACTTCTCTCCCTGCTTCCCCGCTTCCTTGTGCACACCTCCTCCTCGTCTCTTATAGGTAATGATACTCTCTGGACCCCTGTCATGCCCCCTCACGACCTGTTCTGCGCCCCTGCCCACAGGTCGTGATGCTGTCGCCTTAGCAGTATTGGAGATATGGTCCTTCACCCTCTTCCCCTGAGAGTCTTCCAAAAGAACCACCCCTGATTCCCGTAGCTCTCGCACTTTCCACTTCGTTTTGCTCAGCCCGCACTCCAGTGTGTCCTTCCGCCGCTCTCTCAGGTACACCTCATCCCCTACTTGCACCCCTCTGTCCTTTCTCACGACTTCCTTCCCCCCCCTTGTCTCCTCTGACTGTACCGGCGAGCATCTCTCATCTGTGCTACCTCCAGGTTCTCCAGTGCAGCCGGCATGATCGACCGGAGATACTTCGCCCTGGCCGCTGCAACAGCCGCCCAGGTGTTGGGGTCTTCGTCTCCTACCGCCTCTCTTAAGACCTTAGGAGCTCCCACGGGTAGCAGGGGCTCCTTTCCGAACAGCAGCTGGTAAGGAGAGTAGCTTTTCAACGCTTGCTGTTTGCTGAAACGGTACCCTGCTGCCACCCACGGTAATTTCACGTCCCAATCCCGCCTCTCTTCTTCCTCACAATACTTCCTCAGGCCTTTCTTCAACGTCTGAATCATTCTCTCTGTCAGCCCGTCCGCTTGTGGATGATACCGTGAGGTCCTTCTGTGCACTATACCTACTTCCTTCAGTAATGCCTCAAACTCTCCCGCGAACTCTGTCCCTTGATCAGTCAATACTTCTCCACACGCCCCAAACCTGCATAGCACCTGCTGCACGAAAGCCTCTGCCACCGATGCGGCTGTCTTACGCGACAGAGCCGCCACTTCAATCCATTTGCTAGTGTGCTCTATCATCACCAGGATAAACTGCTTTCCTCTCCTGGACAAGGGCAGCTCCCCCGCCAAGTCCAACGACCATCGGTAGCCGATGCTCCCAATAGGCAGCGACTGTAGTTCTGCCTTACTCCTTTCCAGCACCGCCCGATTCCTACTGCAGGGCTCGCATTCTGCTACCTCCCTTTTTACCTGCCCTCTCATTCCTGGCCACCAATACATGGTTTGCAGCAGCTGGGTGGTCCTCTCCACGGCGTAGTGCCCGAACTTCGTATGGATCTGCAGTATCAAATCTCTCCTCTCTCCAGGTCTGGGTACGATTCTCCATCCATCCTCCGTTACCAACTGCAGCTGGTCATCCTGCCACCTGTAGTGCACGCCCCTAGCTCTCACCCTTTCCGGCACTTCCAGCCCCTCTGGTCCCACTCCTTGCACCCAGTCTAGTACTGGTTTATCCTCCCAAATCTCTGCGCACCCCTTCTCAGCATCCCTTCTCCTCCTCCACCCCTCTTTCCCGCGGCTACTGCCGAGTATACCAGTGCTGCCTCGGGGGTCACTCCTTCCTTACTCGGTACCGCTGGCCCCTGCCTCGACAGGCCGTCGACATGCTGGAGCGTCTTCCCTGGGCGGTGTCTGACTTCGAAATCGAATTCTTGCAACCGCATTGCCCATCTTGCATTCCTTCCCCTCAGCGTTTGATTAGTCATCAGCCACAAGAGGGGCTGGTGATCTGTGATGAGGGTGAACTTTCTCCCTTGGAGGTAGGGTCTAAACAACTCCACTGCCCACACAGCTGCCAGCCCCTCTCCTTCGTAGGAGCTGTAGTTGCTTTCTGCTGGGCTGCAGGAACGACTGGCGTATGCCACCACCCGCTCCACTCCCTCTTCCAATTGGCACAGCACCGCTCCCAACCCCCCGCTACTCCAGTCAGTGTATAGCAGGAAGGGTTCATCTTGTCTTGGCAGCCGCAGTACAGGGGCGGTTTTTACTGCCTCCTTCAGCACCCTCCAGGCAGCTTCTTGCTCCTCCTTCCACTCCCAGGCGACATCCTCCCTCAGCAGCAAATTCAGTGGTTTCGCCGTCCTGCTGAAGTTTGGGATGAATTTCCTGTAGTAGTTTAAGAACCCTAGCTGCGCTCTCAGCATGCTTCGGTCGGTCGGCTGCTGGAGGCGGTCCACTACTTCCACCTTGGCTTGCTGGACCGTCATTCCGCCCTCTCCCACTTGGAACCCGAGATACCCTACCGTTCGTACCCCAAAGGTGCACTTGCCGGGATGGCAGGTCAGCCCAGCCGCCTCTATGGCCTTCAGTGTTTTGGCCACATCCTCCACATGCTGCTCCCCATCAGGGCTGTAGATGATCACATCATCTATGTAGCAGAGGGCGCACGGCAATTCCTGAAGCACCTGATCCATGACCCTCTGGAACCGGGCTGACGCATTCTTCAAACCGAAGGGCATGTAATTCCATTCATAAAGTTTGTCGGGACCATGAAAGGCCGTCTTGTGCTTATCTGCTTCTCGGATAGGTATCTGATTGAAGCCTTGTCTCAGGTCCAGCGTGGTATATACCCGTCCTTTCGACAACTCATCAAAGAGCTCTTCAACCACCGGCATGGGATAGCGGTCGCTCTTGGTCACCCTATTCAATCCCCTGTAATCACCGCACATCCGCCTTGATATCGTCTCTCCTGTTAGGTCCTTGCGAGCTGCCACCACGGTTGCTGCCGCGTACTCGGAGGTGGATTCCCGGATCAATCCCGCTTCTAACAGCTCTTTGCACTTCTCCTCCGCAATGTCTCGGTCTCCAGGACTCATCCGTCTCCGCCTCTGGTACACTGGCTCTTGGCTCTGCAGCTCTATGTCCATCACTGCCCGATTACACTTGCCCAACTCCTTCACAGAAAATGCAAATGCCCCTCTGGCTGCCCCCAACACTCTCCTCATCTTTTCCTTCTGTCCCTCGTTAAGACCGTCCCCCATTTGCCACTCCCCGGCTCTGTCCTGTGCTCCCTCCACCGGTGCCTCCTCCCTTCCTTCTACTTCTCCTTCAGTGTTCTCTTTGCTTCTCTCCGCCCTTGCTCCCTTTGCCATCAATACCATCCCT